TTTTGCATGTCTTCAATATTTGATGTAGGAGGGTGAGAAGGTAGTGTGTCACTTTTGGATTTCTCAACTTGTTGAAAATGAACAAGAGATTTGTAAAACCCATTTTCGTTTTGCATGAGCTCATCGTGAGAACCCATCTCCATGATGCTCCCATTCACCATCACAACAATGGCATGTGCATCTCTTATGGTGGATAAGCGATGTGCTATAGTAATGGTGGTTCGATCAACAACAATTTTATCAAGAGCTTGTTGCACTTTTCGTTCGGATTCAGAGTCTAATGCACTTGTTGCTTCATCTAAAAGAAGGATATGAGGTTTTTTTATTATTGCTCGTGCAATAGCGATCCTCTGCTTTTGTCCCCCTGACATTTGAATTCCTTTCTCTCCAACCTACATAACAAATATTTATTGCAAATAAATTTAAATGAAAAAGTTTAAGAATAGTGACAAACTACTAAACACTTAATTTTATACCAGCTTATAGTAATGTTGATTCTCTATGTTATTTAACAAAGAAATTCTTAAACTCACTCACCTGGGTATCATATCCTTGTGGCAACTGGGAAATGAAATCATGAGCATTGGCTGCTTTGGCAGCCTCAACAATTTCTTCCTCAGTGGCATCCTCTCTCCCAAAAAGTATGTTCTCCTTAATGCTAGTTGCAAACAGAGTAGGCTCTTGGCTAACCAAACCCATCAAAGACCTCAACCACTTGAGTTGCAACCTATGAATGGCCACACCATCGACACATATCTCTCCCTCAATTGGGTCATAAAACCTTTGCAGAAGTGTCACCACAGTGGATTTTCCTGAGCCACTCCCTCCAACCAATGCCACTGTTTCCCCTGCTGGAATCCTTAGGCTGAAATCATTCAGAATAACACTCTCTGGCCTTGATGGGTACACAAATTTAACATGCTTAAATTCCACTTCCCCTAAAACCTTGTCTAGAATCTCACCACCCATGTTTTCAGAATCAATCTTCGGAACTCTCTTTATCATTTCCATGATGCGTTCCCCAGCAGCACATGCTTCTGTGAA